TCCTCCTCCTCCTCCTCCTCCTCCTCCTCCTCTTCCTCTTCTTCTTTTCCTCCTCCTCCTCTTCTCCTTCTCCTCCTCCTCTTCCTCTTCTTCTTCTCCTTCTCCTCCTCTTCCTCCTTTTCACAATGTCATTTTTTCCTCATTTTGCTTCCCAGGACTTGTCAAGAAGATACTTCGCCACTGACTGTGTTTGGAAGTACTACAATTTCTCCATTTCTCAAAGCAACGCTCCCTCGTTTGGTACGTATGCCGGCCGATTAAAAAACACAACGCCATCTGAGTATCGTGGAGTGATGGAATATACTCGGCTCGTTTTGTGCGTCGCCCACCGTTGAATCAGAAGCACTCGCTGATTGACATCATTTGGTGCTGATGCTGAAGTTCTGGGCACCCGTGTTTAAAAACATAACCTGTTCAGTTAAATATAACAAAGACATTTGCACAAGCTTTAACACGGGCCTTTCTTTCCATAGCTTACTTGAAAGTGGGAGATTTTTACTATTACGGTTATCAGAACCAGACCAGAAATTTGGATATGTCAGCACACATGTATGCACAAGCAGCGTTGAAGGACGATGCGCAGGTGAGTAGCAGATGGTTAGCATGTCTAAGATGAAATCTTTAAAAATGGCGTGTGCTGGACCAGTGTAACTCTGGCCAGAACATATATTTAGCTTAAGAACTGTGTTAGAGCATTTAGCATTCGAAGGGTTAAACGCTGTCTCCTTAAGAGATGGCCTCTGGGAAATGTAGTCTAGTTGTTAGTCAGTCCTATATTTTATCTAGTCAGTGGGAGGGGCTTCAAAGTTTATTACAGGATGTCCTGGCTACAGTGCCAAGGTTGTAAAATCCTTTGTCTATCAAGCATCATGCACGCATCGATTAGCATCTGTATCCATGCCTAGCTGAGATGGGGAATTATCCCTTTTTACCTATGAGAATGGACAGATATGAATATGACCGGATGTATCTACATCAAAGTATGTCTCTGCTTAGGATTTCTGGACAATAAATATTTGTTTAAAACCATTTTCGTGGAGTTTATGCTATCTGGATCAGAACTATAACACATCTCAGTTCACGGTTCCAGAAAATGGCGTAAGGCTCTGATCAAGCTTCCCCTGTATGGAGCAGACGGTCCCTTAGAAGCACACCAAAGCCAGATTCAGACACCCAATCCTGGTTCCAGGCTATGTCTCTATAGCTGGTTTGGCACAGCAACCATACACGACAGGGACAGACTTCAACAGATAGTTAGGACTGCAGAAAAAACAATCTCAACCAGCCTGCCTTCCATTGAGGACTGGTATCCTGCACAGGCCAGAAAGAGGGCTGAGAAAATATCTAGAGACCCCTCACATCCTGGACACAAACTGTTTCAACTCCTCCCCTCAAGACGACGCTGTACGGCATTGCACGCCAAAATAACTAGACAATTTGCTAAACAACTAATTCCCACAACACTGTCCTATGCCCCGGGGTGTCAAACCCCTTAGTAGGGCTGTATTACTGTTATTCTTCTCATCTTTCCTATTAGCTAATTCCTTAGCTTCTCATGACGATAACTTTGTTGTTTGTAATCTGATGATTTATGTTGATTGCTTTTATTTAGTATCCGATGACTATCACTGAGTGACTATGACTATCTTATGATTTATGGGGATTGTATTATGATGATGGTGATCATGATTTATCAGTTTGTTGTTTGTATGTACACTGAGAGCGTACGCACCGGAGACCAATTCCTTGTGTGTCCATTCGCACTTGGCCAATTAAGAATTCTATTCTATTCTATTCTATTCTATTCTATTCTATTCTATTCTATTTTCTATTCTATTCTATTCTTATTTCTATTCTATTCTATTCTATTCTATTCTTATTTCTATTCTATTCTTAATTCTATTCTATTCTATTTTATATTCTATTCTTTTCTATTCTATTTTCTATTCTATTCTTTTCTGTTCTGTTCTTTTCTTTTCTATTTTCTATTCTATTCTATTATTTTCTATTTTCTATTCTATTTTCTATTCTATTCTATATTCTACTCTATTCTATTCTATTCTATTCTATTCTATTCTATTCTATTCTATTTTCTATTCTATTTTCTATTCTATATTCTACTCTACTCTACTCTACTCTACTCTACGCTACGCTACGCTACTCTACTCTACTCTACTCTACTCTACTCTACTCTACTCTACTCTACTCTACTCTACTCTACTCTACTCTACTCTATTCTATTCTATTCTATTCTATTCTATTCTATTTTTTATTTTATTCCATTCCATTCTATCCATGACAGGAATCTTGCTAGCAAGGCTGTCCAATTAACCATCATTTTATCTCTTCCAGGGATTCTTTAATTTGGCTCTGCTTCTGGAAGAAGGTCATTCTATCCCAAGTTATATTTTAGATCGTTTAAAGATTGACAGCTCCGTCCACTCCAGAAATATGTCCCTCCGTGAAGAGCTTTATGAAAGGTAGGCCTGTCTTTATTTTA